AATTTGATTGTAATAATTAATCAGAATTATTAATTATAAAGTAAGTAAAGAAGCTGTCTTTACTTAAATAAAAGAAAATTTTTTTTACAAATCTTATCTCAACAGAATCTGTTCTCGACATTTTCAATTGAATCGATCGAAGAAACTACATTAGGGGCTAATCAATTATTGAGCGAAAATAAACCTATGAAATGGGAACCAGAGATGAATAATATTATCCAGAATGAAGAAGAAAGCAGACAAACTGTGGGAGTTCATGACAATGTAATCAATGTTCTCTTGAAACCGATGGAAATACGGACGTTTATTCTCACAGTAAAACGGAGATCTCTTTAAATTGTGTGTGTGTGTGTGTGTGTGTGTGTGTGTGTGTAAAAACATTTAATTTTTACAAGAATAATTAGTTTTATAAAAATAAAGCTTTATTATTAGTCTCATTGTATATGTAATTACTATAATAAAATATAATTGCAAAGCTATAATATAAAAATTTATTATTGCTTATTTTTTTATTATAAGAAAACTCTAATTAAACTAACTAAAGCTACTGAAATGTATGCTAAAAAAATTAAAAAACATTTAATAAGATAATAAATAACAGTTAGATTGAGGCTAATGAGAGTCAGCGCGGAAATGGGTGCGTAAATATTAATTCATATGAAATAATTCATAATAATAAATAATGTGTAACTTTATTATCAGGTTCCCGAAACTGTAACGGAATCTGATATGTAAAATTGTAGAAATTGTAACGATATATAATGAAGGAACAATCATCCAGAAATGTGAGTAACTCACCTTAAACAGACGTCAACCATGTCATGAAGCTTTGGCAAATATAAATTCACTAAATAATAAATTAATCATGCTGCGATCACCTAATTAATTTAGAATAGACAATTAGAAGTCTCGAATGGTTCTACGACCATTTCAATTTTACAGAGATAACGTCATAAAAACAATATTCTTATGTCATAAATAATAATAATATACAAGAAAATATACATATATAAACAATGTGCATAAAAGATTAAACCTAAACTTAAGACATGAAATAAATTTTCTAAGAACAGAAGTACATTAGTATATATAAAATATAACGACAAAATATAAAGTAAGCTAATTTCGATAATATCGTAGCATAGGCATGATGTAATCCATCTGTAGCGCATGGTGTAGTCTATCTGAGCGCAAATTCAGATCATTCTTTTGCATAAGTACATTCGTTTTCTCAGAAATTAAACGTTTATTTAAGATTCTCTTGTGATCCAGAATTTGGACATTCTCCCAATTAAATTCATGATTAAACTCGGTTCTGTGATCTGTAATTACTAATTTGCTGATAGTGTTCCAATTTATATGTTCGCTATGTTCTGCAATCTTAAAGCTTAATTTTCTACTCGTTTGACCAACATAAGAAGCGTCACAGTCTTTACATTCGATTTTATACACTACATTTTTATTATAATTTTTTAGAAAAATATCCTTCTGAACCGTGATAAACCTATTCAGCTTACCTGTTGCTAAAAAAGAATAGTTTGAGATTTTAATTTTTACAAATAGATAAAAATTTACTACAGTTTTGGGAACTTGATAGTGACTCATCAAGGACAGATCGTTTAACCAATATTGACCGTGAATACGTATAATTTGCTGAGAATGACTCCAAAGAGAATGGAAACGTTCAAGAATTCGTAATAAAGCTGCATATCGCTTTATTATTATAAATTATTTTATATGAATTAATATTTATGCGCACTCATTTTTGCGCTGACTCTCATTAACCTTAATCTTACTGTTATTTATTGTTTTAAAGTTTGAGAATCCGATTTAAATTATTTATTGTTTATCTAATAAGATGTTTAGCTAATTTAATGAAATTTATAAGCCTCAATTAAATGGTTTAATCTTCATAACAAATTTTAAAGTTCAATGTAATTTAAAGCATCAACAAACAGATTAAAGTATGAAATGTCATCGTTTTTCAATTCAACGAAGTTTTTATTGATACAAGATCACTATGAAAGAGACGTGTGTGATGCAATAATTGTTTCATGATATAAAAATAATCTATATTGTATTGTAATCTTCTATAAACATGCATTATTTCGAAATTAAAGTAGTAAATTAATTAATATCAAAAAGATATTTGTAAATCATTCTCTTCTTCTAATTCTTCTAAGCAAATTTATTTTTAAAAAATTAAGATATAAGTATAAAGCTATTTATAAAATAATACGTTAATAATTATAAAAAAATAAGTTTTTATGTTGTGCGCATTGCATAAAAATCAAGAAAGACAGAAAAAGAAAAGACTTATTTAATTAAAATTTAATAAATAAGAAATTTGATCACTTGTGGATACACTGTGCGACTTTCTTTATTACTATATAATGAAATATCGCATAAATTATACTCGATTATTCCTTATATGTGTGTGTGTATGTGTGTGTGCGCGCGCGCGCGTGCGCGTGTACGTGTGTGTAAATCTGCTACAATTTGTTATGTGAAATTCATAAAACAAATGCTGTCGTGACTTTATAAAAATATATGAAAAGGAAGATATAGAAATCGTAATGATTTGAAAAGATGGTACAACTTAACAATCAACAATATTATAACGCATATTAACATGATGCGCTATAAATTATGTATACTTAATTTAAAACAGCGAGTTGTAATCTTCATGTATCTTCTTTTGCAATTGACACGCGCAACAAATATTATTGCTAAATATTTGCTTCACACAGATTTTAATGTAATTCGTAGTATCGTTATTATTAACAGCACGATAAACATTGCGTCGAAAATTCGAACAATGATCGTCTTTTTCAAATGTAGGAACAACATTTAGTATCTATTTTCCTACGATACAAACCTACAATTTCTAACGTACGATTGTACGTAACACTTCTTATGATCTATAAACTACATAATGTAATTCTCCGCTTATTCACGAGCGCAATATCTTTCTCTAG